TTAACCAACACAAAACAGGCGCCATCAGTCATTTTACACTTGTAGTGTTTTTAAGGAGGAGATCGGAGCACCTATGGATCGGTCTCGAGTGCTGTGATGATAATCATTTCTAATCACTAACACCGTACCTATTTCAGAGATCACTCTGTTCGTGTATAGAACGTTGAAGGGGGAGAGAGAAGTTTGGGGAATCCACAACTTTAAATTAGTAAGAAAGTAAACGATGCTGCCACCTCCCACCGCCTCCAAAAGTCTGCGACACCGCGATAATTGATGAAGCTGTCTCGTGGCATGACTGTGCCACAAACTCGGCTTAATACATCGCTCTGGAGCCAGACATGGAATTTTAACAAGGCATTTTTCACATCAAGTCAGCTAGTTCCAATAGACTTCAATAAATGTTGTACAATGCACTGATGAGCAATCATTGTTGTAGGATGTATAATAATAACAATAAATTTGAGCCACTTCTACAAAAATATAGAATTGGACAGTTTTAAATGCTTTTTAACGGTGTTACAAAATGGCGAACGGTATAAAGGTAAAGTAAAGATAAAGTCGAGAGATGTGAACCAGCGCCACTGCACACGGTTATAAACCATACGTGCTCTGCCACCAGTACGGACAGCTGATAAGAATTGTCCGCCTGTGTCGCCGTAGGCACGTAACTCTGTAGCTACAGCGACGTTCCTCCATTTACCCCAGAGTGTAAACACTGGTACCCCTTACCTAGAGGCTGGGTGAACCCCAGGAACCGCCCCGGTTTCGGACACCGACCGTGGGCTGCAGCGGGTCGCAGCTGGATTTGAAAGCGAGCCTCTTACCGACTGCGCTAACGCGGCTCCCGCAATATGCTCTCTCTTTCGCTGTGTGTGTGTGTGTAGATGCGCGCTCACGCATGTGTGTGTGTGTGTTTGTATGCGCGTGCGTCATGCACTGAGATTGGCTGCTTCAGGGTTGTCAATGATGGGTTTTTACACCCAGATCTGGGTTTTTATTGACGCCTTGGGTTTAAATTTTGAAATCTGGGTTTTAAGTCCAAGTCCAAGTCCTGGGTTTTAAAAAAAATATATCCTTATATAAAAGTGGGTAGATGTTTCGTTTCGTAACTATACAATTTTCACTTTTCAACAATCTGGGTTTTTTAATTCATTTTTTGTTGTTGTTGTCTATGTATTGCTTGGGTTTTTGTTCAGCTAGGCTCGGTTTAAAAAAAATGTCCACTTGGCATCCCTGTGCTACTTATGACTTCCTTCGTTTGCTGCCAGCATTTCTCGGCTTTTGTTTGTCTTTTTCTCCCGTGGGAACTTATCAGTGGTATCAACTAGTTATGGAATTTGAGAACTTATGTGGATTCCATTCATTCTGCCTCTTCTCAGCGTTGTCTAGTTGTTCTCGTTTTTTGTTTCTCTACAGATCTCACTGTCTTTTTGACAGCCGTTATTAATATTTGAGTTTGCGAGAATGTGCATGTCAACCTGGACGCATGAGGATCAATCTAGCTTTAGCTTTGTGTCTGTTATCGGCACCACATCGTGCCCGACTCCAGGCAATCTTCAGTTCTTCTTCAGTCTGGTTCGTTGTAACAACTGTCTTTGTCTAGGGGTAATGTTTTGTTAATCCTGGGCAGCAAGTCATTTATTTTGGATCGCAGGTATTTTCATTGGTCTTGCGTCTGACAATTGTGTGGTATAGACTATAGTAATCCCATCGGCTGCTTCCCGATACCTTCTCGCATCTTTGTAATTAGATCTGACGCAATGATGATCTAAACAAGCTGGGCTGCTTTGAAGAAAAGGGTTGCCTTAAGTTTGAATCGCATTGCATTGCGAGCATTTGTTTGTTGAATGATTTCCCTAGCCAGCACCAGCTGTTGTGCGCTATACCAAGTCTGATAGCCTGTTACGGTGCAGCAGAATGGCCAGAAGAAAATAAACATTACAATGTATCAGACCAGTACAGTCAACAGAATAAAAACACTATGAATGATGTAAAAGCACATAGGAGAAGATGAATATTACTAACAAGTACCAGCTCATTACTGAATCAACAAATAATACATATTACAACTGAGAAGATGAATATTACCAGTATGTAACAGCTCATTACTGAGTCAACAGATAATAAATATTACAATTAAGTAACAGAACATTTCAGAATGAATAAAAGTTTTATTATAAATAAATGTTTATAAAAACAGAACTGTTTATTTATAATAACATATAACTTAACAGTTTTATTTCAAATGTGCACATCAGACTGTTACAGTTCATTTGACTTCCTAACTAAACAATACAAAAGCCATTACTGCATACAGTGTGTGACATAAACAGTACACATTACAAATGGCATTACTGCATACAGTGTGTGACATAAACAGTACACATTACAAATGGCATTACTGCAACTAGTGTGTATGTGTCGGGGGGGGGGGGGGGGGAGGGGGGGGAAGGGTGTAATTATGGGGGGGATCAGGAAAGTGTATATATAATTATATGATGTATATTATATATATATATATATATATATATATATATATATATAATATATATATATATATATATATATATATATATATATATATATATATATATATATATATATGGACAAGGTAGTTGAAAAGACTCAATTTTGTACTGTCATAAAGTCTGTAGAATACTTATACAGAGACAGGCCAGAATGAAACATTGATGAACAAATAATAAACACAATAAGACACACAGAGGACTACATTTAGTTGAGTAGAGTCTCTTGAGAATTATTACAAGTTTAAACAAGAAATAAAATACTCAGCAATTAAAAGAAAATGGCTTTTATAAACTGCTTAACAACAAAAATGCATAGCTAATGAAAGGCAAATAATTTTGTCATAATTTGATATTCACACAAGAAAACAATTTTGTCATAATTTGACATTCATACAAGAATACAATTTTGTCATAATTTGTCATTCACACAAGAATACCTAAGAGTGAAACATTCCAATGACAGTTCTTGTGCATCTTGGTCATCAATATTTTTAGGCACATGGACTTTCCCAATGATTAATAAAAAATATGCCATAGGATAAACATGAGTGCTTTTTTTTATTTCAAAAACATTACATTTACATGAAGAAAACAAAAAGAGAGTATCTCAAACTATTTATTTGTTAACATGACTGTGACAGAAACTGAACAATTTAACGGTTTTTACAGTGCGAAATAAATAATAATAGAGTCTGGCAATTGAGAGATAACAATATTAAGAGAATACATTTTCTAACAGAAATATTTAACAATACGTGCAACAGCTTCTTACATCTACATAAAAGGTTATAAATAAACAACAATTTTACACACAAAAAACAACTGTTACACACACAAAAAGGTAAAAAATAAAACTAAGAGTGACTGCACATTAAATTTGCTCTTAATTTATGTGCATTGCATAAATATGAACTATAAATAAACCAGATTAAGGTAAAATTGAATATTTCCAGTTTCTGATACATGAGAGCTGTTTTAGAATAGCTGGGACTGAAGAATGGGTGTGACAATGGTCAGGCCAAGTGTTTGGGGCACTTATGTAACAGGAACAATTTAAAGGAACAGGGAGAAAAGGGGATATAAAAGTAGAGAAAGACAGATGAGAAGAATAACAGTTAAAGGATGTGTGAGAAGATAAAAGGTTCTATGTAGGGAGTGTAGTAATAAGTTTACACCTCAGACAATCAAGTAATAGTCAGTGAGGCATAAAAGAGTGTTATTGTAGTTTAAGTATAGTAACTACACAACTACACAAAACTTAATAGTGTTGTACAGGGTAAAAAAAAAAAAAAATTAAAAAATTCAAATCACAGCCAGATGTTAGCATTATAATGTATTATAACTGCATTAGGTTAATACACATGACGTTCCCATTTCCTTGCAGCTCTAGCAATACTGTTCAGTTAAACAGGTCACATGTCATAGTTACTGGATATCATAGTCATCACCATCATGTTGCCTTGCCAATAAACAACACGCAATATAATACCTTATCTTATTACTGCAAAAGAAGGTAAATACTACTTACAAAAACATCCGTGAATGTTTTGTGCATTATAGGGTGCATCTCACTAAGTTACTTTAATTATGTCATGTCTCCAAACTAGCCACATCTCACCCATCTGGCTTTGTTCCAGAGTTACTGTTTTTTCGGAGCAGCCTTCTCTCCATACACAGAATCTATACTCAACCAACCCCAGCCTCCTGAGTTCACAAACCTGTGTCTTTCCTGCCAAGCATGCCACTTTCACTGGGAATCACTTCTGACATTATACACATGGGAAAAACCCCAGGAAATCTAGTGTAGGTGTCCTTGTTCATTGTCACTTGGGTCATGCCCCTTACAATTTATGATAGGAAGGTCTCCCAGTTAACCTTTGCTAGCTTACAATGTCACCTCTAAAATTTCAGAGTTCATGAACTCTTTAAATGGTTGTGTTTACCACAGCCACATTTTCTTGAAGTTAAGGAATACACAAGTAGGACATGCACTTAACATCATTACATGATGTCTAAGAATATCAAGAAATGGTCTTAATGACATCTTATTAGGTGAAGTTGAAGGAGAGAGGATGTTGAACAGTTATAAGAGCTAACTTTCAATGCTGATTGGTCAACTGATGACAAAAGGCATTTCAAACATACAGAAAGAAAGAGAGACAGGGTTTACATCTGCAGAAAGAGGCTACCATTTTGCAGCAACTGGCATAATTTACTGTCAAACAAATGACTACTGGAGGCTATACAAATGCTCCAGTTACATGACAGTTTTTCTATCGAAGGTAGTCATCGCATACAAATTACATGTGTCAGTACGCACAAAATCACATATTACACCTAGGAACACAAGGAGTTAAAACTACCAGTTCAAACAGAATGGAGTAATAGCCATCTATGTAACTGAGACAAGTACAGTATCTTTCTTCATCATGTGCACTTCAATTACCTGTGTGGCATAGGCCTTCAGCCAATTCAGCAAGACAGTTGTGCTCTGATATCAAAGCCCATTTCTGACACAAGTCCAGCAGAGAAGGCATATGAAACTCCACTTCTAGGGTTGACCCCTTCAGCCCAAACCCAGGCCTTCGGGAAACTATTACCCCAGTTCTTTTCCCAATGAGCAACAACAGGAATCTGATCTTGGTGTGTGCCACCAGTGACTGTTTGACCAGTTTCTCTATTCATGTATTTGAATGATGTAACTGTAGACCTCAAGCTATACACAAACCAATGAAATGGCAATGGCAGCTTATACAACCAACTTTCTGGACCTTCACCATGTGGGCCCCATGGAACTGGCTGAGCTGTTTCTCCCATCAACACATGTGGCCCTAACTTGACAGAAAACCTGGTCCCTGTCTTGTTCACAATTAACGACAAGTTTGATGCAACTGTAACCTCAAAATTTGGTGGTGACTCATCATCTGGGTTTTTTGTAGCTGGTCGTCCATTTATGCTGATGTTGTACTGACTGGGGCTGAAAAAACCCTCAGGGTTTTCTAATCGTTTGTCAGACTTCAAATTCAACAGTAAGCCTATGAACACAAGATTGGAAGGACTTGTTATGTTTCTGTAACTAGACAAATTCATATGAAGCTGCTTCTCTGCAATCTTTCTTCTGCAATCTTCATTCAAGGCAGAAGTTTGACATAGGCTTTCAACATCAGCATAAAGGGAAGTGGATGGCAGTACACGACCAAACATAAAACCAAGAGATAAGTTCTGATGAGAGTCAATTATGCGCAGATACCTGAGGACAGCAATTGTCAAAATGTAGGTGAAAGAATTATGCACTTAATGACAGAGCATGTAAATATAAATTCTTATCCTATTGATCAGTCTTGTTAGTTTCAGGCTGGTATTATTACTAACAATGAACCAAGCACAAGTGAAAGGGTTAAAAACTGATTCAATTAGTGCTGCTGAATTTAAATATCCTTCCTGAATATGTTTAGTGCAGCCATCGTTCATCTATTGTGCCTCTGCACTGTTCACTCGCTCCCAAAGGGCCTACACAACATCTAGCTTGTCACATATCAATTTACTACAAAGTGGTGCAGAACCGGCCAGTCTATCTGCCTGAACGTTGCCCAATAGAAGATGCTTGCCACTCTGCATGGAGTATGCCTGTCTCCACCTTTCTCAACATACTCTGTGAGTCGGTTACAATAACGACATGTATGTACAGCTGATTCTCAATCCAGTGAAGGCAGCAGTGAGGCCTTCACCTCTTCTAAAAACTAGATGTTGTGATATCATATGCCAGGCTTTTTTTCACTAAGCGACATTCATTCACTTTTGCTATGAACCCCAACATACTTCTTCTACCTCTCAACACAGAGCCATCTGTATGGATAATCAGATCACCTGGGCAGGAATTGTCATGAATTATTTGTTGAACTTCTGATTCTGCAGCACCAGCTGGCGAGTCCCTGCACTCATACTCAAAGGGATTAGAGCCCTACACACATCTGATTTTTGCTCGGACACTTTGACATACTCCTCTCCTTGCCCAAATAAAACAGGAAGAGCAGAAATGATGCTATGTCTAGTCTACAAATTGACTAAGCTTATCATCGAGTTGTACCAAGAACACTGCAATCAACAAGGCAAGATAAGAATACATACAAATTTAGAAGCCAACATTTAAGACATAATAAATGCAAACATAGAAACATAACTTGTTACTAACCATCCTTCAAAGAATGGACCTATTTTAGGATACACATGTGGATCCATCTTGTTGGCTCTGCACAATATGATTACAGATACTATAAGTGATCCAGCAACAATGACTTGCTTCCTGAAGTGGCTTGCCATCATAAGCTGGTGTTGATGCAGCCAGTGGAATAGTTTTCTTGCATACAATGTGTGGCCTTCACAGTAGTTCTTGTCAGATCTTCAGACCATACATGCTCTAAAACATATAAATTCAAAGACTCATTTCTTAAAAGTTTGCTAAGAATAACAAGTATTTGTGTGTATGTGTGTGTGTGTACACACACACCAAACACACACACATAATAACATGCATACACACACAAACCACACATAAAAAGACACAAATGCGTGTAAATGTATCAAAATGAAGTTCACACTTTTTTCCTGTGGTAAATAATTATAAAATTATTGCATTCTGAAACACCCAGCTATCCCAATAGCGATAAAAAGACCAATTATAAATGAAATCTTGATACTAACCTTGTGCTATCAGTGTCAGACTTGGACATTGTCTGAAGAACATGAAAGAAAACTAACCACCTGTGAAATGAGATGTTTGAGAACAGCTGTGAACAAAAGTAGAAGGATCATGTGAGAAACAAAGAAATTACTAGAACTACTGCAACAGCGTCTATTATTAAATTCACTGAAAAACTAAGTCTGAAATGGTTTGGCCATTTAATAAGAATGTATCCAATGATGCCAGCAACGAGAGCATACAGCGTGAAAGTAGAAACATCAAGATGTAGGGGACGACCAAGAAGAATATGGATTGAAAGAGTCACTGATATCTTTAGACTCCACATCACATCATATGGCTCAGATCATGCTTAGAAACCGATCATCTGTTAACCTGAGGCCTAGTGGCACAAAGCAGAAAATAGACAAAAGAAAGAAAATAATAATAATAATTATTTTTAATTTATAACCAGCTGTGCTTGTAAACATGTCAGGAATATAAGTTGTAAACTATTTTATGTATTAAATATTTTGAATTATAATAAACGATACACAAATAAAATACTTAAGAACATGTAAACAACAGACACTTTTTTTAAAAATTCAGCTGTGACCCACCTTTCAGTCAGTACCAGAAATATTCTGAGACATCACTCATAGATAGTTTATACCAGACATATATACCCAGAATGCTTAAAAGTATAGAGAAGAATCCTGATCTTACTATTTTTTCCTGCAAATAAACAAGACTACTGATTCAGACTGCTAGAGGGTGTGGATGATAAAATAAGAATAAGTGAACACTTGAAAGGCAAGTTGTTATGTTACTTAACAAGCTCAATCAGTCTATATAAGGTAAGTGTTAAATTAACAAGACAAAGCTACACTTCCATTATTTGACCTTAAACCTTTCAAACACTAACATTGTTGTAAACAATAATTTAGCACTTACTAACACAGCAGCTGTCTCTTTAATCACATTAATTATTCAAAGGGAAGGAGGTCATTATTTGAGGCAAACATTGCCATACATCTGTGACAGGAGGGGCCATTATTTTAGACAAATACTGCCATATATTTGTGACAGGAGGGGCCATTATTTTAGACAAATACTGCCATATATTTGTGACAGGAGGGGCCATTATTTTAGACAAATACTGCCATTTATTTGTGACAGGAGGGGCCATTATTTTAGACAAATACTGCCATATATTTGTGACAGGAGGGGCCATTATTTTAGACAAATACTGCCATATATTTGTGACAGGAGGGGCCATTATTTTAGACAAATACTGCCATATATTTGTGACAGGAGGGGCCATTATTTTAGGCAAATACTGCTATATATTTGTGACAGGAGGCCATTTTCTGAGGTAAATATTGCCATATATTTGTAACAGCCGTCCATTATTTGAGACAAATATCGCCATACATTTGTGACCATTTGACCATTATTTAAGGCAAATACTGCCATATATTTGTGACAGGAGGCCATTTTCTGAGGCAAATATTGCCATATATTTGTAACAGCCGTCCATTATTTGAGACAAATACATTTGTGACCATTTGTCCATTATTTAAGGCAAATATTGTCATATATTTGTGGCTGGAGGCCATTTTTTTAAGGCAAATATTACCATGCATTTGTGACAGGCCATTATTTCAGGCACATGTTGTTATATATGTGTGACGGGAGGTTAGTTTTTAGGCAAATATTGGCATATATTTTTTAAAGAGGCCATTATTTGAGGCAAAAATTGTCATGTACTTGAGAGACTGGAAGCCACAATTTTGAGGTGCATATCTGACAAAAGGTCCCATTTCCACAACTTAAGTTATATTCGGCATACAGAGCTAGACTAGTAACAGTATAGACCTGTATAGCCTGTTGTAATATGAGGTGACTATTTGAGGCCAATATTCCTATGAACTTGTAATGGGACCAAGTAGCGATGATGGGAGAAACCAAGTCTTTGTGATGATTGGAGAGACCAAGTCTTTGTAATGATTGGAGGGACCAAGCCTTTGTGATGATTGGAGAGACCAAGTCTTTGTGATGATTGGAGGGAGCAAGTCTTTGTGATGATTGAAGGGACCAAGTCTTTGTGATGATTGGAGAGACCAAGTCTTTGTGATGATTGGAGGGAACAAGTCTTTGTGATGATTGGAGAGACACAGTCTTTGTGATGATGGGAGAGACCAAGTCTTTGTGATGATTGGAGGGACCAAGCCTTTGTGATGATTGAAGGGACCAAGTCTTTGTGATGATGGGAGAGACTAAGTCTTTGTGATGATTGGAGGGAGCAAGTCTTTGTGATGATTGAAGGGACCAAGTCTTTGTGATGATTGGAGAGACCAAGTCTTTGTGATGATTGGAGGGACCAAGCCTTTGTGATGATTGGAGAGACTTAAGTCTTTGTGATGATTGGAGGGACCAAGTCTTTGTGATGATTGGAGGGACCATGTCTTTGTGATGATTGGAGGGACCAAGTCTTTGTGATGAGGGGAGAGACCAAGTCTTTGTGATGAGGGAAAAGACCAATGGGAGGGACCAAGACGATGGGAGGGACAAAGTATTTGTGATGATGGGAGGGAGGGACTAAGTATTTGTGATGATGAGAGGGAGGGACTAAGTATTTGTGATGAAGGGAGGAAGGGACCAAGTATTTGTGACGATGGGAGGGACCAAGTTTTTGTGATGATGCGAGGGAGGGACCAAGTATTTGTGACGATGGGAGGGACCAAGTATTTGTGATGATGGAAGGGAGGGACTAAGTATTTGTGATAATGGGAGGGACTGAGTATTTGTGATGATGGGAGGGACTGAGTATTTGTGATGATGGGAGGGACCAAGTATTTGTGACGATGGGAGGGACCAAGTATTTGTGACGATGGGAGGGACCAAGTATTTGTGGTGATGGGAGGGACCAAGTATTTGTGATGATGGAAGGGAGGGACTAAGTATTTGTGATGATGGGAGGGACCAAGTATTTGTGATGATGGGAGGGACTGAGTATTTGTGATGATGGGAGGGACTGGGTATTTGTGATGATGGGAGGGACTGAGTATTTGTGATGATGGGAGGGACTGGGTATTTGTGATGATGGGAGGGACTGAGTATTTGTGATGATGGGAGGGACCAAGTATTTGTGGTGATGGGAGGGACCAAGTATTTGTGATGATGGAAGGGAGGGACTAAGTATTTGTGATGATGGGAGGGACCAAGTATTTGTGATGATGGGAGGGACTGAGTATTTGTGATGATGGGAGGGACTGAGTATTTGTGATGATGGGAGGGACTGAGTATTTGTGATGATGGGAGGGACCAAGTATTTGTGACTATGGGAGAGACCAAGTATTTGTGATAATGGGAGGGACTGAGTATTTGTGATGATGGGAGGGACCAAGTATTTGTGACTATGGGAGAGACCAAGTATTTGTGACTATGGGAGAGACCAAGTATTTGTGACTATGGGAGGGACCAAGTATTTGTGATGATGGCAGGGACCAAGTCTTTGTGATGATTGGAGGGACCAAATATTTGTGATGATGGGAGGGACCAAGCCTTTGTGATGATTGGAGGGACCAAATATTGTGATGATGATGGAAGGACCAGGTATTTATGATTAGGGACCAGGTATTTGTGATTAGGGATGGGGGGGGGGGGGGGGGTGCAATTATTTGTGAGAAAGGGACTGTATTTGTGATAGGACCAAGTTTTTGTGATGGGACCAAGTATCTGAAATGGAAGGGACCAAGTTTTTGTGATGGGACCAAGTATTTGAAATGGGAGGGACCAAGTTTTGTGATGGAACCAAGTATCTGTAAAAGTACCAAATATTTTTTATGGGAGGAACCAAGTATCTGTGATGAGACCAAGTATTTGTAGTGGGATGAAGTATTTGTGGTGGGACCAAGTCTTTGTAGTGGGACGACGTATTTGTGATGGGGAAAAGGCTTTGTAGTGGAACAACGTATTTGTGATGGGATGCAGTATTTATAGTGGGACCAAGTATGTCCTGTGGGACCAAGCATTTGTGATACGACCAAGTATTTGTGATAAGACTAAGCATTTATGATACAACCAAGTATATGAGATGGGACCAAGAATTTGTGATACAATTAAGCATTTGTGATTCGACCAAGTATTTTTGATGGGACCAAGCATTTATGATAGGACCAAGCATTTATGATAGGACCAATCATTTGTGATACGACCAAGCATTGTGATACGACCAAGCATTTATGATGGGACCAAGCATTTATGATGAGACTAATCATTTGTAATATGACCAAGCATTTGTGATATGACCAAGTATTTGTGATGGGATCAAGTGTTTGTGATGACAGGACTAAGTGTTTGTGATAAGATCAAATATTTGTAACAGTACCAAGAATGTGAACTGGGACCAAGTGTTTGTGATAAGATCAAATATTTGTAATAGTTCCAAGAATGTGAACTGGGACCAAGTGTTTGTGATAAGATCAAATATTTGTAATAGTACCAAGAATGTGAACTGGGACCAAGTGTTTGTGATAAGATCAAATATTTGTAATAGTACCAAGAATGTGAACTGGGACCAAGTGTTTGTGATAAGATCAAATATTTGTAATAGTACCAAGAATGTGAACTGGGACCAAGT